ACCAAGAACCAATAGAAAATTATTTCACTTGTACAATTTCCTTCAAACAAGCACAATCTTATTTTCATAAAGATTTCCCATTTTCTCTCCATCTTCTGTGTTCATCCACGGCTTCAAGCATTGAGAAGCCTCACTGGAACATTCACTGAAGTTTTACTCAAGATTAATGAAGTCTCTGCCTATGTGTTCACAGCAAACCCACACACGCTGATAGTGTGAAGTTCCTTATAAAGCCTGAAGTCCACTGAGTTGAGATGGTAAACTTCCTCTGTTCCTTTTTATAATATCACTTTAAAAGTTGCAATCCTTACATACCACGTTTTAGCCAAAATATGGATTCATGATGAGTTCATATATAAATTCATTAACTAGAAGCATAGCATTGGAATTTTTAGGTGGAGGTATAAATTGTGAACCATTTCTCCACCTACAGGACTGTTGCATAGACCAATATAGAGCCTGCTGAGGCTGACTAGGAACCAAAATTTGAAAACAGCGTTTGTTTTTTAACAGACTTAGGTGAGTAGCAACCTGTTTGATCCCAGACCATCCATCCAGTTGATGATCTTAACCACCTTTCCTTTATTATAGTAGTTATTATATCAGGAATTAAATTATTCCACACCCTAATGGGGTATGCCTTTCACTCTTGCCAAATAACATTTTCTATAGGTCTTTAAAACTATTTTTTAAACTATTTTAAAAACTACTTTGCTATGTTGAAGCTTTCAGATTAACCTCAGCTAATTACTGATAACTAAAAAATCTAACACCAACACAAACAGACTGTTACTTGTTGTTGCTGCTGTTGAAATAAGTAAGCCCTGCTTTAAAAATCAGAATAGGCAAATTCTTAAAAAAAAAATTCTTCATTTTAAATTGAATCAACATGAAATATTCAACCTGGTTTTCTGAATAATGACAAAGTGCCAAAAGCTCAAGCAGACACATGTACCATTATTCCACAAGGAATGCCTGCATACATGTTGTCTCTGTTTTGTTTTCATAGTAACAAGAATGTCTGAAAACACATCTCATGTTAAAGGAGCCTAATCAATCAAAAGATTCCGCTGGCCAATCTTTCGATGTAGTCAAATAACAGGATTTCATTCTGTGATAATACACATATCGTAAATCCACTTTTACATCCCATGTGTAATAGAAATATAGAATTTTTTTTATCTACTTCAATGGTATTTTTCCAAAGACCTCCACAAAGGATCTAAAAGTTAAAAATCAGTTAAATTTTAAATCTGTAATATCATTAACATGCTACCACTCCCAAAATTGTCCCCAAATCAATTTCACATCAATTTAATCATAAACACTCATATAAACATAAGCAGTCTCTAAAAAAGCCAACCTCATAAAATACAATCACTGTAACAAGAAATACAGATGCCAACAAATGAATTTTGTTTTATACCTGACCTATGTTCAATGCAAGAAACTCAGACAATTTTCAAAAGACTCACCATTGTCATTTTTCTGTACGTAAGAAAGATGCTGCATATTTCAAACCTAGTGGTCAAAAAGGATTATGACACTTGAAGCATAAGATCATTAAGTGAATGTTGGTAAATCCCTTTCACCTCAAAATAAAAATGCACAGTTCTCATCTGGTAACATGATTTCTCAGTGTTCCACAGGAATTTTGTCTTAATAATGAAAGTGATAGCACGTAGAAGGCATTTCTGTCTTGATAAACCATTTGGCCTATATCTTAAAAATCAAACCAAATCTACTCATTACACAATCTATTTGGTTAAAATCTTGTTTTGGCACTCTAATAAGGTGAAAAGCGCAAGACATCTGTAAATACTAATATATATGTCATATACATAAAATAAATGTAATATATATATGCACATATATATGCAAATATTTAAATTAACTTGGTTTGCTCAAGGACAAATATCACCAAACATTACTATATCACTGGAGGAAATGTTTCTAATAAAGTTAAAGGGCCGTTTTCTAGGAGGACAGATCATTGCAAATTTAATTAAAATGGATCTTATTAATATTTCAAGTAATTTCTGGGCTTGATTATGCACTACAAAAGAAACAACTGTACTGAAGAGAAAAATCAATAGCCCTTGACTAGAGCTCTGAGTATGCTAGAAAAACACAGTTCTCTTGTGAATTACCAAGGTCTAGCCTTTTGGGGTGGGAGAGAGTACCAATATTTATTTGGAGGTAAATTGAGTTATTTTTAAAATGGCAAAAAAAGGAAGGAGAACAATCGGTTCAAATTTTCCATTATAATGAAAGTACCGGAAACAAGCCTTTTTATGTTCATTTTAGGCCTAAGAAACTGTGCAGAGAATAAGGCTTTTGCAATGTCAGTTGCTCACACTGCTTCCTGTGAGAATTCTAAGCCATTACAGGTGTCCTAAGGCCTCCAGCGAAACCTATTATCAGGTTATTCCTCCGGGCCCCTCAAAGCCATCCCCACTGACCCCTACCCCACACATACTATTGCTCGGCTCCTCTAAGTGTCTATTAAGGACCCTCTGTCTTCTCTGCACTCCCGAGGTTAAAGTACCCACTTTCCCTCGGCGAAGCCTGTAAAAGCTTTCCCATTAGAGCAGACTAGTTCCTGCAGTCCTTTTCAGTTAGATGCTTTCAAGTCAGAGATGAGAGGAGCCACTTGAAGAAAACCCTCCTTCCCCTCCTCCCCTTTCCCACTGGAAGCCACGTCCCTGAAGGGCAACACCAAGGGACACTTCCTGACCCTCTATCCCCTCACCCAGTTTGGGCTTGGAGGGTTGGGGTCGCATTTTCTCGTGTCCTCTGCTGCACTGGATGTGTTATGTAAGAGGGACAGAACGCGAGAGGCACATGCGTATAAAGCGCACCGGTCTGTGATAACAGCTGGGGTGGCAGAGCTGATCTGGAGTCTCCCCCAGCGAATACGACAGACACCACACATACATCACCCCCACCCCCACCCCACCCCCACACACACCCACACACAGAGCAGCGTTTTCCTGTCTCACCCCTACCACCACCAGACGCACAGAATGGAACGGCGGGGGGAGGGGTGAAGGGAGGTGAGAGCGGCAGCCGCACATCTGCTTTGATAGAGCCGCAGCGGCAGAGAGCCCCTCGTTAACCCCCTTCCTGTGGCTGCACCACGTCATGGAACATTCCCGGAACGGGCCAACGTTCCACCCACTTCAGGGAACAGACATAAAGGCGCAGACCCAGCTCCCCCCAGTGCAGAGCCCAAACACACATGTCCCACAGACGAACACGCATGCAAACCGCCCCCACCCGTCTCCACGCGCCCCCGGCCGGCCCGACGCGCCGGCAGCCGCGCTGCGGCCGGTGCACCGCAAGGCGAGGGCGCCTCCGCCTGAACCTTCCATCGAGACAGTCCCCTCCTTCCTCGCTTCCTTCCTTCTCTCCTTCCTTCCTTCCTTCCTTCCCCGCTCGGGAGGAGAAAGGAGTCACTGAAATGCCAACAGCTAGCGCCTTCGCCGCGCTCGCTCGGCCGCAGGCCGGCGGCCCGGCCCCCGCGCCGCCCGCCCTCCCGCCCCCGGCCCGCGCCGCACGCCCGCCGCCCCCTCCCCCGCTACCTGACGACGGGCGGCCGGCGGCCGCGGCAGCCGCAGCGGTGGCCGGGCGGTGCGCGCCGGTGCACGTCCCTCATTAGTAACCAGGCACATTCCTGCCTCCAGCGCTCCCGCGCGGCCCCCTCCCCCCAGGACATTACGCAAAGCAGCCTCCCCTCATCTGCATAGATCCTCGGCCAGGGTATTCCCCGCATTTCCCGACGCACCGGACCCCCCCGGCGAGGTCTCCCCCATCCCCGCCCCCTCCGACCCTCACCCTCGGGAAACTGGGAAGGGGCCGGGGGCGCGCGCCGAGAGAGGCCACCGAGTCCGGCGGAGGCGATTTCGGTATAAAGTGAAACAAGCTCCCAATGCTAAAGAAGGCAGGAAAAACACGGCGCCTAGGCCACTTACCAAGCCGAGGAACCTAGATTCCCGCCGCTCTGCTCTCCCAAATGGTCGGTCCGCCCTCCACGCACCCTAAGGCTGCACCCAGCACCCCAAAGTCCAGACGTGTAGGGATATTGTTAACCAGCCAGGAGACCCTCCAACTTGCTCCAGGCTCCGGAGAGCCTCAAGGTCCAAGACTCAACTTGGCAAAGACTTGTGCCACAGTCCCCGAAGATGTTTTTGTGGACACCCTCCTCCGGCGGGGAGCGACAGCACTCGGCGCCCCGCTCGCCTCCTCTCCACCCTCTCACCTCCAGCCCGCCTCCCGCCGGCTGCCCGCCTCCGGGCCGCAAGCCCCTCGGGCTGCTGTCAGCTCCCGGCCGCCGCCGGGTGACAGGGGCGGGAGGAGGGCGCGACGCGGCGGCCCGAGCCCGGGCGGGCAGGAGGGATCCTCGCAGCAGCGGCGGCCGCTCACCTGGAAAGTCACCGCTGAGAAGGAGGAGGAGGAGGAGGACGGAGAGGAGGAGGAGGAAGAGGAGGGAGAGGAGGAGGAGGAGGAAACCCCCCTGGTGCCCTTGTTCTCGCTGCCGCGGCGGCCGCTCCTCGCCAAGGCTGAGCGTGTCTGGTGGGGGGTGTCTGGTAGCATTTCCTTAAGGACAGAGGGAGGGCGGGCGCGGAGGGAGGGAAGAGATCCCGACCGCCTGCCCAGGCTCCTCTTTCCTTTATTTATTTTTCTGACACTATACGGAGATGGGCCCGGGGCAGGGGCCGCGGGGCTCGCGAGGGAGCGCGAGGCCCGGGCCGCAAGCAGTCTGCGTGCGGGAGCCGCAGCGGCCGCCTCCCCTCCCGGGCTGTGGACGCACCGGGTTATTCCTGGCAGCGCCTCCCCGAACAGAAGTTACTAGGAGGAGTGCGCGGCGAGGGCGGGCGGGGGGAGAGGCGGAGGGAGGGAGGGAGGAAGAGGGAGAGACTCAGCCAGCGACGTCATCGGATCCCCCAGCGCGTCCCAGGGAGGGAGGCTGAACCAGAAAAACCAGTCTGGAGCCGGCGAGCGAGAGAGGGATGCGCGGCGCGCGGGGCGGCGGGGGAGGGAGGCGGCCGGGAGGGTAGGGCCCGGCCCCGTTGCGGCCGCTCGGGGCGGGAAGACCACGGCCGCGCTCCCGCTCGCTCGGATCGGGGAACTCCCCCGAGAGCCGGTCTCTACTTGTCATGCAAAAAAACTTGGGCGTCTCTAGGAGCCTAAGAATTTCCTTTATGGACGTGGAAACCTCCCCCCCCCCCCCCCGCCCAACTTCCCCATTTCCCCATATAATCTAATCTTCCCTGTCTTGATGACAAACGGAATTATATAATAATTAGTATTGTCATTATGATTTTGTCCGTGTACCTCTGATCCCTTTCTTCTCCCTCGCCCCCCCCCCCCCCCGCCCCACGGTTATGTTAGGGTCAAGAAAAAAAAAAAAAAATCAGACTAGCTCCTGGCTGCATTTCTGGAGCTTTGCAAAGCTTTTTACTAGCACTTTCCGTGCCCCTGCGGAAGCACGAACTTTTCACGCGTTTGAAATGCCCCAATTGCCTTCCCTGGGGTCACTCGCCAGGGCGCCCTGGGCGCACCCAGCTCCGGGCACGCGGCCCGCCCTCGCGGGGCTATTCAAATTGCCTTGGGCAACGGCGCGGGGAACCGCTGCCGGTTTCTTGGTGGGCCGCGCCGGGACCCGGGGCTAGCGGCTGCCTCCAGCCCGCACGCTTCCCTCGCCTCGGAAGAGACGCGAGTGAAATCGCAGCCCGCGCGGGGAGAGCGGGGCCCGGGGACCGGGGAATCCCAGGCGAGTGGGGACCGGGGCTCTGGGCTTCCTCCCCGACCCGGCGACACCCGGAGGACACCGGGGCTCCCTTTAGCCGTTACCCTGCGTGTGTGGACTCGTGTGCACCCTCGGGGGAGGTTCCCCGGAGGCCGCGGCGAGTGGCTTCAGGGCCGGGCGGGCGCCCGGAGCGCTTCCTGCGGGTGGTCCCCCCGCCCGGCGGGGACCGCGCACCGCCCCTCCCGGGCGCCCTAGCAGGAGCGCAGAGCCTAGCGGACCCCAGTGCCGCGGGCACCCCGGGCGCGGGCGGCCTCCCCACCCTCCAACCACCTCCCGGCCGCGCCGCCGCCCTGCCCCGGGCGGAGTAAACAAGAGACGCGCAAGATTTGACCTGGCGCGACCCGGATTTCTGGCCGGGGTTCCCCCTGAGCAGGTGACTCCGTGGGAGGGGTGGAAATTAGTCTCTGGAATTCCGGGCCAAAGACAGTCACTGTGGTTCTGCTTTTAAGACAGGTATTTCACCGACAACTGCGGAATGTTTTGCGTCTCAAGTTTCAGATTTCGCGGAAAGGGACCAAATGTCAGGACGTATCAAATATTCTCTTCCCTTTTCATTAGAAACGAATACATTAAATGGGAGGACAGCCCCCCTAGTGACTTCGACAGTTGCACTGCTGGTTTCGGTTTTGGTTTGTTTTGTTTTTCCTTTCGACCTATAATCAGTGTATTTCTGAGGTCCCAGTGCAATGGCGACGTTGCCGTGAAGGACGACTCTGCAAAATAAAGCGGCGATACCTTTTTTATCGATATTTTCTTCAAAGGAGAAATATCTGAATGATTTGGAATAAATTTCACTGTGTCCTTTTAGGTTGATCTCATTTAAATTCAGGGCCTACTTCCACTAAAGCGGCTTCTCCTTTCATGGTATAAGTTCTTGGATTTTCAGCCTTTCTTCACTTAACTTGAAGCATTTAGTAAAAACTCTCCCATCATCGTTCTCTCTTAAATGTATGCCATTGCTTTTTTAAACATCCATTTGAAACGCAGGACATGGTTTTTGAAATGTTTTTTCACTTCCAAACCCACCTGCTACATGCGCCCAGAGCCCATTTTATTTAATTGCTTCATAGAGAAGATTAAGCAGTTTCTTTAAGAATCCAATTTCCCTTCAGCACACACAATAGCAGCTACCCAAACTCCCAGAAACTGAGCAAGGGTAGCAAGCAGCGTTTTGCTTCACTAGAATGAATGTTAGTTGAAATCTTAAATGCCTCTTTAAAAGATGAGATTTGATTAAGTGCCATAATGTGAATATTAAGGCATTCAGCTAATTGGGCAGTTAAAATAATTTTTTTAAAAAAAAGCAAATATACATCAGTTTTGATGACCTGATCCCACCACCAAAGAGGATCCCTAAAGGCACTGTTTAGTCAAACTTGGATTCTTACTACCTTGTTCCAAAATCAGCAAACTTCTAAAGACGGTAGCCTGAATTGAGTTGAAACAGAATCTGGGAATATGTGTAAACTAGTTACCATCCCTTCTGCTTGGGAAAAATCACTGTGTTGAAGTAAATGCATCCCTGTCTCCAGCTGCTAATGCAGCAACATGTCTGTCCAGTTGCTTATAAGCAAGTGCAATATAGTAACAGAAAAACTCCTCTTCCCAGAAAACCTCCAGAGACCAAACCAGCAATGGTAAACTGTGCACTCAGCCCTAGGAGGCTCTAAGGAAAGTGAGGCTCTGTGGGGCTTAGCTGACTCATCTTGGGCACCCAGATGGAGCATCAGCAGTGAGGTAAGAACTTTCTTTTCATTACTTTTCTTACGGCTTCTCCATTTCAAAGGAAAAGAAAATCTGGTGATCTGGATTAAGAGGTATTAAGAAAATAAAATAATTAATGTCCACATGGCAGTATCGCATTTTTTCAGAGTCAAAAATCACCTTGGACTTAAAGCGCTTTCATTCAAAAAATCTTTCTTTCTTGCCTACCGTGTGCTGAAGATACTTAGGATGCATCTGTGAACAAATCAAAGATCCCCATTTTCCTGAAGCTTGCAGTCTAGCCCGGGGGAGGGGAGACGGAGGAGGAAGAGGATAGAAAACAAACAAAAATAAAGGGTCTAGAACTATGGAATGTAAAAAGAGTTATGGAGAAAATATAAAATAGGGTAAGGGATATGGGTGGGGTGAGGGGTGTTGTGTTGCTGTATTCAATAGGGAGATCAGAATAGACAAGTCACTTATCAAAAGTGACATTTCTGACAATAATTAAAGAGAACGCTTTAGCAGTAGATCTAGCTGGAGTAAAGAGCTTTTCACATAAAAGGAACAGCTAAGATAAAGCTCTAAGACCAGAGCAAGTCTGGCATGTTTGTAGACCTCAAGGGAAACAGTGTGACTGGACCAGAAGGTGACAGCCAATGGACAGAACAGCCTCGTAAGCCACTCGGGACTTGTCTCACTCAGGAAAAAGCTTGATAAGGGGGCAGGTTCATGGCCTTTGCCACCCAGTCCCACCAAATTTGAATCTTTGTGGGCCTAGTAATCTGCATTTTTAGCAGATAATGTCGTTTATGCTTAGGCATTCTAAAACTCAAGACCTACTGCTGCAGAGCATGGAGACTGATACACCCAGGTAGGAGACCTGAGTCCCGGTAGACATTGTATACAAAGCTTCAAAACCAGGCATGTCCGTGTTCCTAATCAGTTGTAAATTTAAATCCTCAACTCAAACTAGTTTAAGAGTGAAAGGGATGACAAATCAAAAGAGACTCTTAATCTCAGGAAATAAACTGAGGGTTGCTGGAGGGGTGGGGGGTGGGAAGGATGGGGTGGCTGGGTGATGGACATTCGGGAGGGTATGTGTTGTGGGGAGCACTGTGTATTGTGTAAGACTGATGAATCACAGACTTGGTAACCCTGAAACAAACAATACATTACATGTTAATAAAAAATAAAAGAAGAGTGAAAGGGACTTCACTGACTCATACAACTAGAAGTAAAGAACAAAATTGTAACTCAGCCTCTTCCTGGGGCTCAAATGATCTTACCCTGGTCCATTCTCCCTCTCTCCACTTTTCCTATCCCTCTGCTTCACTTTGCTCTTCAGACAAACATTCTGCAGGGTGGTGGCAGCAGTCCCAGATTATCATTTTTCCAATTTAGCAACCCCAGTGGGAAATGACCTTCTTCCCAGATAGTGCAAGGCAGCCTTGGTCAGGTCCTTGCCCTTGGTCCAATCACTGGGCGTGGGTGGTTGAGTGATCTGATTGGTCATACCTAGGCCTGGAGTTGGGGGTGGTCCTCATGGAAAGAGCAGTTCCCAAAAGAAAGAAGAGTCACTGTGGGGAGGGTGTGTCCACTATATCCCTTAAGTTTCTGGCCTTGGTTTCTCTATTTTTAGTTAGGGAATTGGTCATGATGGCATGCCTAACTCTTTATGGCTGTAAATTCTATATAAGTCACTGCAATAAATCCCTCCACAAAACTGTGTAAAATGAATTAACTAGCATGCCATTCCCTCAGATAAATTTATAGTACTATAAATAAGACTCTAAAGGGGTTACCTGCTATAGAGTTCTGATAAGTAAATGGAATATAGCCTTGGGTCTTAGTAAAGAATGATGATTTAGAACTGCCTTTCTGATGGCTCTCCTACTTTCTACTCACCTGCTTTACTTAGTATATGGAGAGGAATTAAGCAGTTTCATGATTTGTGTGGTGTGAAGAAAACTTAGGACTCCAAAAATTAGTTGAAGAAAAGAATTTTGAGGGAAAAATATGCCTGTCTGTTGAATTGTTAATAGGATACAAGCCAAACCCTCTAATGTAGACCAGTCTATCCCATTATAACTTCCTTTGGTTGGGGAGTGGAGGGCAGGGGTGGTAATTAAGGACCAGTCAGCTGGAGCTGTACTTACTGAGACCAAAGGTGACATCTGTTACGATTGAAGAATAAAGTGTTCATCCTCCTGGCTTTCATAGGATGGGCAGAACTCATAGACTTCCAGCCAACTGGTAACCAACTTGTCACCCCATACTCCAGAGTTTCTCTAGGTGTATTTCCAAGACCAAAGACAACCGGTAGCATCATCTCTTTTTTTAAAGATTTGATTTCTTTATTTATTTGTCAGAGAGAAAGAAAAAGAGAGACAGAGATAGAGCACAAACAGGGGGAGCGGCAGGCAGAGGTAGAGGGAGAAGCAGGCTCCCCTCTCAGCAAGGAGCCCAAGTCAGGACTAGACCCCAGAGCCCTGGGATCATGACCCTAGCCAAAGGCAGGTGCTTAACTGACTGAGCCACCTAAGCATCCCTAACATCTCTTGAAATGCTTTTGTAAAAGTCTGGGCTGCCCCCTAAATTTGTAAAATTAGAATCCTCACAGTTACGGCCTGGGAAACTCCATGGTTCCTAAAGAGCATCCCCCCACCTGTTACTCATATTCTCATTAAACCTTGAGAACCATTACTTTACACTTTGCCCCTAAGATTGAAATGGAGCTAGCTGACTGCCTGAGAACCCCCTTCTCTGCACTTTATCACATTCCTCATGTTTCATGTGACCCCTTATGACAAGTTAGCCCTTTTTATTCTTCAAATATATTCTTGTGGCTTTTATTTTAACCAGATGTCATCTCTGTAAACATAGGTTCGGAAAGAAAAGGCCCCAGTGAATGAACCAAGGCTAGGGATAAGAAAAATGGAGAGAGGACAAAGGTTTGTGGGGCACAGAATTAGGAATGCACAGTGGGGAGAAGGGTAGGAGAGAGGTAAGTTGGTGGGGAAGAAGAGAATGCAAACGAACTTTGGTAATTTTCTGGTTTAGTTTAGGATTAGCCATGCCCACAGTTTATGGAAGGGTTCTGCACATTTCAGTAGTCTAAATTGCTAGTAGACTAGCTTCTTACATTCTAGAGAGCACTCAAGGGCTGCCCACATAAGATCTTTATCCTAAGGAAGATAGAAAAACCAGAAGGCTGGAGAACAAAAAATCAAATTAGGAAATAGTCAGTAGTAGGAATAAGACTGTCCAGGATAAGTAAAGCCTGAAGGGCCTGCCCCCTTAGATAATAGGGGAACATAGGCTTATGGTGTGTCATTAACAATTTCGGAGCATCTCTTCTATCACCTCCCCCCACTCCAAAACAGGTTATAAATGAAATTCCTCACTTAACAGTCACTGCGTGGGGTTAAGGCTTTGCATTGATGAAAATCTTCCAGTACAAGCCAAATATAAGTAGTGAACTCTTAATATCCTAAGCCCTTAATAAGTCATTAACTTCTTATGAAAGATTAATTTATTAGATTGCTTTTCTGGAGTAACAGCTAGCTTAGGACTCTAACTGATTTATCTTGACAAAGCATAGGATGGAGATGATATGGGGAGGTGTGGAGGGGGGTAAGACAGAGAGGCCTAAAGTTTGGGCAGGGTTGCTGTGGGGGAACAATAGAGGTCTAGGAAGAGGACACAGATGGAAGGGGAAAGGGTGTGGAAATATGAAGTGAGAGGCAAAATGGAAGATAGGTCTTTGGTACCCACTGAGAAAGCCTCTGACGGGGCCTGTGGAGAGGAAGCCTTGATGACGTAGGCTTCTTAGGACAGAACAGAGTGGGTGGCCCAGAGCACAAGTCCCGGCTCTGACCTTAAGCCAGCAGGAGATTTGCCTCCCCTCTCTGGGCCTCCACTTCCTCATCCCCCGGGGCGGGGGCGGGGGTGGTTTACAGTCATAGATTCTAAAGTTTGAACTGCTGACAACCAAGGGTGAGAAAAAAAGGAGGACTAGGAAGAGAGGAGAGCAGAAAGGGGAAGAACAGGGGAGAGAGCTTATCAAGCACCTTCCTATTCCTACCCAGTTCTTGTGGTGGCTGAGGGCATAGAGATTTCAGCTTAAACCTATGACACATAAATTTGATATACTATATGCTCAGAAATGAGAAGAGTTATTTCTCATTATCACGCCTTAAAACATTTTGGGGGAACAAATGCATTTTTCTTGAATTTAGCCAATGAAGTTTTTTATTGGTACCTCAATCCTTAAACTTTTAGAATTCCTGAGAATAGAGACTTGATCCACTCTCACTCTGTTGGTCAGATCTCTGATAGATTTGACCCTCTTTTATATAGCTTTGAACCATGAGTTAAGAGGAGAAAAACACACACACACACAAAGTCAAATAATTGTCACAAGCTTGTGCAATGATTCAGGCCCTTAGCTAGAAATTTTATGTAAAATAAGGTAGTAAGTTAAAAGGGTTACATTGAAGAGAAGATGTGTTAGTAGAGGATGTTATCCCAGACCCAGTGGAGAATGTTCTCAGCAAGGAAGGAGATACCGAAAGTACACAGATAGGCAGGGAGTGGGGTAGGTTCAGGTTGTTGTTGCTGGGATAACAACATAGTAACTGCTGAAAGGGTCCCATGCAACCATCAACACACTTGATGAGCCCAAAGCATGGAGAGGGGAGTGTGTCACAGCAATACCTTTCCTAAGTGAGAAGGAAGAAATTCATGCTTGCTTAGGAAGATTTCTACAATAGAAAATTAAAATCATTTTTAAAATATTTTTTACTCCAGAGGCTTAAGATTCAATTACTGGAAAAGTCCACTTATATAAACAAGACCATTCTCATTGATTTTCATAGAGTATAACAGTATTAGAGAATTAGTTATTTCTTTTATATCTTTTTTTAAAAGATTTTCATAAAGGAACCACTTATTCAGTATGTCATTTCCCATTGACATTCTTCATATATGGAACATTGCATATTCTCGCATACAAAACCTTCTCTCTAGCC